TCTTGGCATACATTTTGCCAACATGGCTTAAAAGAGAGATGCCTCGATATTGACCGCATTCTCGTTTGCTTCCTTTTTTCTTCCACAATGGTATAACTATTGCATGTTGCCAATCAATAGGGGCCGTTTGTTGTACCCATGCTGCATTGAATATTCTGTGAAGCCATCTGATGCTGCTTTCACCTGCTGCTTGAATTATTTCTTTTGGTAATCTATCAGCTCCTGGTGCTTTATATTTGGGAGACTGTTTAATGACTTTTTCTATTTCATCCATTAGTATGGGTGGTTCTAACACTGTTGCTCTGTGCTCTTCAGTTGTTCTTTCCTGATGATCTCCTAGAGGATTAAAGAGCTTATTGAAGTATTCCCTCCTTCTTTCTGCTATCTCGGGTGGATCTATCATTGGCCTTCCTGTCTTATCATTAATTATTTCAGTGGGGTTGTAGCTCTCATATCTTTCCTCAACTTTCTTTATCTCATCAGACAGATCGTCAAAGAATTCATCTTTCTGCTTTTCTGTATAATTATCATTGCATGGTGCATATATCTGTATATATGTTTCAGCTTGTTCTCCTCTTTTAATTTTGAAAGTAATAATTCTATCTGAGTGATAATGTATGTTTAATTTGTAGTTAGATATGTCCAGATGTACCAGGAAACCCACTCCATTCTTCTATGTTTCTCCTCCTGCATATGTTGATAAGTAGCCTCTGTGTATTTTCTTATTAATATTTCCCTTGCGTCTTATATCAGCTAGCCCCATTAACTTGATTTTCCTTTTTTCCATCATTTCAATAATCTCTTCTGTTTTATTTCCCAGGCCAGCGGTGTTAAGTGTTGCAATCTTGTATTTCGCTTTTCTGTCTCGTAGTCCCTTAACATTGCCATGATCAGATACCGTTTGATCAGTCCGTTTATATCTCATTTTGATTTCTGTAGCGATAATAAATCCATTGCCGGCTTGCTAGGCCTGTCGCAACTTCACCAGAGCCCCGTTGGCCAGGACGTTTCGGGGTGACCCAGGGTGGCCTTCACGGCTACCGTAGCGGTCCCGTGGCACGAAGCCACACCATACTTTGCCCACACCTAGCAATCCCCTACTTTGTCCTGTTACCACCTCTCACGACGAGGACGGGGGGTTGGCCTTTGAGAGGCACATTATCATCACTGGCACCTTTCCGTCTTTCCAAACGATACGGTTAAAATGCGCTATGAGGAAGCATGGGACGCATAGCCCATGGTTAAAGTGAGTGTGACTAGCAAGACCTGCCGCGTTAAGAAAATTCTTCCACAGTTATAGCATGGGATTTCAGGAGCGTCGTGTCAAAAGTTGTATTTCGAGTGTTTCTCAGACGCTCAGCTCTCACCCTCTCTGCAATTATTTCTTCTTCACTCTCATTCCCTTCTTAATGTGCTGCCTACACACAACACGGTCCGTGGTATTTTGTTCTCTCGAGTCCACCTCAACATCTGAATCATTGATATCCTGTTTGCACACATGTTTATAACGTAGTAGAGGTCGACCGCGACATCTTATACTCATCTTTAATTCGTCATAGAGAATGTCCTCAGGGATTCTGTGATCCTCAATTCTCCAGATGTGCCCCAACCACCTGAGCCTCGTAGATTGAGCATTAAGAAAACGGTTGTCATACCTGCTCTTTCCAATACCTCAGTATTTGTGATCTTGTCCTGCCACTTAATGCAAAGTATTCTTCTTAGGCATCGCATATGAAAGCTATTTAGCCGCTTCTCCGGGCACTAAAAAGTTGACCAAGTTTCACTGCCACAAAACAGAGTGCTGACAACACCAAACCTGACAGACAAGAGCTTTTGTTTTAATCGTGAGCATCCTGTTCTCCCAAACTCTTTCTCTTCATCTGCTCATTGTTGTTGTTGCTGCATTACCTACCATGATTTGGATTTCTTGAACCAGCGATAGTTTGTTATTCATTGTGGATTCCAGCTCTTCACCATCAGTGTCGACCATTTGTGCACAAACATGACAATATATCGCAACTTTCGCCTTGGTCTTGAAATTGGAGTTGGGAAGGGGGGGGGGGGGGGAATAGACGCACTTTTTTCCTAACTAACACGATGTTAGCGGCGCAGCCTAGATGCATATTACAACAATATTGCCGATCGCCCTACAAACGGCGAACACAGAAGAAAAAACGGTACTTTCGTTTACGTTCACCCTATTTTTGGGAATCCAAGAGTTCTCGGTCAAGTCCAGTACTATGATGGACGGGCGGGGTTAGGATTAGAGTTACTCGGTATTTACTTCTCACCGTAGCACACAATAATTTTTGACTTTTCTTGGGAACTCGCATTTCCCGAGGGGGTGAACTAAAATGAAAGTGCCGAAAAATATATAGAACCCACAATAGTCCCAGCTTTCGTTGCACTATAATTTTGGACGACCCCAAACAAAAGGAAACCTGAAATCCCCAGCCAATTCCACTATTTAAGGCGTGTTGACATTTAAAAGAAACCAACACACACACACAATCACACTAAGAATTATATATATCGCTGACAACAACATAACGCCTAACAACCTTAAATTAGTGGAGTGAACTGGAAATTCCGGGTTTCCCTTTGTTTGGGGTGGTCTCAAAATATAGCACCGCTATTCTTTAATGAACGGGACCACACACAATTCCATGCACAAGACGGAAAAGGAACATAATCTCGCCGTAAGAGACCAGTGTTCGCCCGGCGACCAACCTGAGGGGTGAAATAAAAATAACTATCAGTTACATTGGCTAGAAAACAAAACATTCATCTGGACTCACTACGTCAAAGAAAGAGCCTGGCGCCCTGGACAGTAGAATGACAGTGAGACCCCGTGGAATCAGAGGATACGTGTCTAATAGCTCCTGCTAACAGCGGCCCCGACGCCAAGAAAATATGGGGTGGGGGGATGCGGGCGGTGTATAGTCTTCCTGCCTTACTCATTTTCTGAAAAAATGGAAGGGTATAATCTTGGTTTAAGAGCATAACAATAATATGAGATGTGTTTAATCTTAGTTTAAGAGCATAACAATAATATGAGATGTGTTTAATCTTAGTTTAAGAGCATAATAATAATGTGCCATGTGCCTGATAAATATAATAATATAGAAATAAACTTAAGTGTATAAATAAATACTTTTAAAGAGAGTTTTTATAATTGTTGAAAGGGACCGGCAATCAGCTTTGTAAAACTGAAAAAAGGGGTGGGGGGGGGGGGGAATATGTGCAACAAAAGATTTTTGTAAATCCTGAAAACCACATTTTAAAAGTTTCAAAGAAATAATAATAATTAAAAAAAAATCCCTTCTCGTTTTTCTATGTGTCATTAAAACTGTCAGTCTCTCTCCATGCAGAAGGTAGCAGCTCGTTGACAGCAAAGATGAAATCAAGATAACCGAAGCACCGGCGACTACCCCATGGTTCTCTGTTGAAACCGCATATATGAACAGAACACTGCAGCCTTCATAGCATGAGGCAAACGGCTTGCCCACTTTTCCACGGAGACCCCTGTGATATTCTTTTGTTAAATTAGTTTTATAATATATGCTACCTACAATTAATTACCTGCAGTTAAAAAGAAAAGATGGCCACAGTCAACCTAGAAATAGGCTTGACGTCTTCCTCCGAAGTCGGAGTACATCTGCCGGAGAGGCGGGGAACGAGTACTGCAAACAAATAAGCCAGTAAAACGGATGTACACGCAAAACTCAGGTCAAGGTAAAAGCCAAAAGTCCATTTTGGACGAACAACCGTGACTTACCGCCGGAATTCACAGCCGGTGAACAAGAAGAAGAAGAAGAAAAAGAAAAGTACAATATTCAATAGATATCTTACATTTTGAGATAGATAGAAGGGCGGGCCACAAGAGTGGTTTGGGAGCAAAAGAGAAGGGAGTGCTTTTGGTATCTGGATAATAAAGGTTTATATATTTTACCCGCTTTCCATTGGGTGGGCATTATACCTTCTTTTCATACAGAAACATTCGCTTACCTTAATACTAAGTTGTTTTTCTTTTACTTTAAGGACATGTCAGAATAGAGACTGGAAAATCACAAGTCGTGTGTTTTTAAATATTATTTAAGCTTGATCTATTACTAATCAACTTTACCCGCGCGATCGCCTATCGTGTGCTACAGCAGGCGCTAGATGTAAACCCCATGTCTCTTGACCTTTAGGTTAGCAAGCAGTCGTCCGGACAGCGGCAGTGGAAGCTTGTGCCGCGCGCCGAGATCAAAGGACCCTCTCCTCTCCCCTCTGGAAAACATCCTATTCAATCGCATAACCAGCAAGAATGCGCGCCACGACAGAGCAGAAGTTGGAGAGCCTGCATTTCAGCTTTCACTGGATCCGCGGCAACATCGTGTAGTCCGTCAGTCATACTTTTGATTTATTGTGCGCCAGGGAACACGAAATATAATTCCGCTTGCTAACTTCGTCAGTGAAATACACCGACTATCGTTATTTCTATTGAGTTCAAAACTTGAATGTGATTTTACAATTAATGGTTATTTCTTACGGATTACTTTCCGCATACCACGTGTGTTCGCTGGCTTTTTATTGTGCACCCATTAATAATTATTAAATTTTGCGTCAGTGTACCCAGCGCGCGATCGAATTTTTCTACTTGATACGGCGTTTTAGAATAATATTTTGTACAATCTCAACTGCATTCTAACAGTGATAGTACAAATAGAAGTATAAGTGAAACAGTGAAGAATCCGCTAGTAAACTGAGTGAAAAACGGACAAGCCGACAGACAACACACAACAACATAGCCAATAACAGAAATAACACTGTTACTAAAATTGGACCACGGCGTATGACTAAAAACTGTTAGGAAGGGTCTGATTGGTTGCTGGTTATGAAAGCTCACTAGTCATTGGTCGTTGTTAGATATCGTCTGCACAGAATTCATGGCGGATTCAAAACGTGTGTCAGGGTTCGTGAATATCCCGTGTCCAAATTAAATTTCTTTAGGACATATGACTATGCCGCACATGAGTTCGGGAGGATCAGAGGATTTCTACTCCACTGATGAGGTGAAGGTGTACAAAGATGAAGGAAATAAAGACGAAGAGAAGCGGTCGTCGGAGAATTTAACCGAGGAGAAGCTGGGCCTTGTCACTGAATCAGAAGAGGTGAGTGCGGGTCTCTCTTCAAACAAATGCCAAGCCTTTGATCTTTTTTTTTCTCCCCGGGTCACAAAAGCTGCAGGGACTTGTGTTATTTTTTTGTTGCTGTGTGATTTATTTACAAGTGCAGTTAAAGTGTGTGCTAGTGTATTGTTGTATGGAAAGGTTACTTTTGGTTATACTTACTAAATTGGCTTTTGTTTTAATTTTCAGGGCAAGAATTCGTCTATACAAGGAAATTATACAGCCTCTGAAAAGTCGAGTAACACAGTTTCAGACGACGGTATGTAGTTGGTTGGGCATTCGTGTACGAAAGATCAAAGGGATTCATGGGGGAAAGGGGAAAGTATAGCTGCGGAAATGTTTTCTTTTGTAAGGCAGGCGGGGCAGCTTTCTGCGCGCGCCTATGTGTGAATGTGCGTGTGTGCTCAAGTTTGTTTTATTGAAGGAAATAAGTGTGTAGCCAAGTGCGACAGGTTGGTTACATAGGCAGGGCTATCAAGTTCCCTCTACCCCATCCCTCTACCTCTCTTCTCGCATTTAGTGTCTGGCCATTTAATATTTTTCATATTTTTGTCCCCAGACATTTCTGTTTTTGTGTGCACATCTTGCTTCTGTCTTGGTAAGGATTACATTCTGTGTTTTTAGCAAGCTGACTGATTTATTTTAACTAAATGGTAATCAGTTATAGGCCATCTTGTGTAGGAAATAGCAAATTCTTCGGTTATCAGCAATGTTTGTGTACACTGGAAATCATATATTGATGCAATACACAAGACATCCACACACATCTACTAGAGAAAAAGTTATATGTTCACTGCTTAGTTTTAAAATATAAATGTGACATGAAAATATTAATTAAATCCAGTTCATGACAGGCAGAAGTAGTAACTAACTGGAAATGTAACAGCTCAGACATTAAGTTCAGATTTATAGTTTAGGGCCTCAAAATGTAGGTTATATTTCTTTAATTCTAAGTCAGTGAAAGATCTTTGAATCTCCAAGCTTTTTAATAATTCTGATGCATTTTAATAATAAGTTGTGCTCGTGGTCTTTCAAAGAATATAACTTTCTTTTAGTCCCTGCAGTGCATTAGTAAACATGTCTGTCAAAGTATTCTGTCTTGTGTACTGTCAGTTATTTCAAATGCCAATTTTCTTTCATGTCATGATGCTAAATTGTCTAAGATCTTTTATTATCCTCTTCCTCTGCCTGTCTTCTAGATTTTTGGGGTCTCGTGGCCCTCTCCTATACAGTCATAAAGATAGAAAATACAATTAATAAAGTTAATCAAATATAATAAAACTAATCTGTTACATGCAAAATTATAATATCTGAATGTGTATCATAAAAAATGTTTAGCTTAGAAAAAAAAAAAGCCTTACATCATACACTTATTATCAGTTGTAATTGTTTATTACATGCCAGTATATGGTAGTAGGTTCATTGTCAGGTACCAAGGAATTCCCTGGAAAATTCGTGAAGACTAGCTTTATACTTACCATTTTGTTTGTGTAGTTAAGTCACAACAAATAGGGACACGTTAAGTTACAACAAATTGGGACACCGTATACACAATATACCCTTATTGCTTATAAGCCAGTTAATGTTATTTGCAATATATTGTCTAGAAGAACTACAATATAAAGGAATGAAGGGGTTTAGGGACACAAAAATGTGTATTTGTGTTTATTGTAATTTCACCTTCTTCCTTCCCCCTTTCTCCTTTGATAGAGCATAGATCACCCTCTGCTCCTAGTCATCTCCTAGGACATGCTTAGTAGGTATTTGGCAGTATTGCTTTGCTTCTCCCAAGGTCCCTGATCACAAAAATGTATTGTTGTTGTGTATGTTCTTACTAATTTTGTTCCAGTTATAATAATGCTGCATTTTCTTTCTTCTGTAAGTAAAGCAAAGGTTTCTTTACACGCCAGTGGCACATCAGACATAAGATACTAGACTTATAAGTTTTATAGACCTGGGAGCCAATATGATGTTTAAAAAAACAATCTGGCACCATACGTATTAGTCTTCTATTTAAATATGAATGTTGACTGATTCAGCTCCAAATGCACATGTGTTTGTTGGTTACTCCTCCCATGATTTTAATTTGCTAATTTCATGCGTCGCAGTCAGTTGTTAATTCAAATTTTTTAAATTCTATCTTAATTGTTACTTAAACTCTTTCAGCACACCATGGTTCTTATATCAGTTACTTTATTCTCAGTTTTGATTATTAGTTGAGGTAAACTGCTTTGGATAATGTGAGTTAATGATACACTACTTGAGGCCGAAAGAGTTGAGGGTGTCCATACATTAGCAGTCTAGCAAGAAATACTTATGACCGTCTGTCTAAATGTTGTATTGTAATACTGAGCTCTGTTGCAGAGCTGCTAGTGAATCCATGCAACAGTTTCATGATTCTCAAATACTGGGATTTGATTTCCACGGCAGCAAGTTTATTTCAGAAGAAAATTATACTAGCGGTTTTTGGATAGCAGTATGAGAGTCGCACCATACGTGGAAGAGATTGAGGTCTCACCATATAATGTTCTTAACCACATACTGTAGACAGACAATCTTCTCTATGGGGATGGCAGACATTTTCTATTTTATATATACTGATAATTTGAAGCAGAAGTGTGGGGGTGGGCAAGATACAAACACATAGAAATATAAGTAGAGCAGGTCTAATCTTTATAGTTCTTGAGTCGGGTTTATTGCTTGGATTTTCCATTGTGATTTCTTATGATTTAACCCCTAATCACAAAAGTTTATTTTGTCTCACTACGAGGTTCATAAATAAAGCAATTCTTTTTTAAAGCTTTATTGTGGGTATTTAAATTGCTGAGCGGTATAGAAGATTCTATGCTTTTCACAGTTTTAAGTAGTTGTTTGTAATTCTGTTTTCTAGGCTATCATAACATGCACTGGTGGACTAACAGTAGGGTCTTTCACATAAACTAATGGCAGACTGACTGTAATATTGTTCACCATTTTTTTTCTATCTAGACAGTGTCCATTTGGTGCCAGTGGAGCGTGATCCCTCTTGTAGATTTTGCTCTCTATTGTGTGTGTGTGTGTATATACATATATATATAGATGTGTGTGTAAATATGTATAAAAAACAGTTGTAATGACCAATCCTTTAAATTAGTTACTGTGTGGTGCTGTTGTAATTCTTAATGTCAAACACTTTGTGTGTTTGTTGGCATAGTTTCTAAGCCACAAGGAAAATACAATCCTCAATTTCTGTTCATACTAGATGATCTGCAGTCATTTCTTCTTGCTGAAATGATAGAACACTTCTCTCAGGCTCAGAGGGCCTTAAAGGTAACTGAGATAAGGGCTGGATATCCTTTTTTAAAAAAAAATCACTTTTTCTGTTGGTATATTGCTGAGAATGGTTAGATACCTAGACATATCAGATAAGGGCAAGAAAAAAGAGGTCTCTTGAGAAGGTTGAGCAGTTTGAAAATGCAAGGAGCATACCATAAGGCTTCTGTCTTATTGTTAGGAAAGGAAATCTATGTAGTAATAGTAAAAACTTCACTTCAGTGAATAAATCTATCTAGAGATTGGAAGGTTTACATTAAACGAGTTGAGGTCAGATGGACTACTCTCTGAGGAGCATAACCAGGTGTTTAACACTTACTTAAAAAGTTTTCTTTGAGGCCATACATACATCTTTATGCAAGAAAGCCTATGCAGTTTAAAGTATTGACTTTTATCTTGTCCTTAATTATGTTTTTCTTACAGGATTTTTGTGAATACTTGTAAAAAGAGCTGGTATCTTCTTTGTGACATCTTGAAACCTGATTATGGTTTGTCCGCTTTTTACTGTATATGTGTTAGTGAATGACTCCCTCTCGCTCTCCGTCTGTGTGTGTGTAGTTAGGCATTGGTGACTCATCTGTGATTTTTCTACCATGTAAAGCTATGCATCTGTTATTGTCTTTGCGTTATATATATATGTATATATATGTATATATATATATGTATGTGTATATATATATATATATATATATATATATATATATATATATATATATATATATATATATATATATATATATATATGTATGTGTATATATATATATATATATATATATATATATATATATATATATATATATATATATATATATATATATATATATATATATATATATATATATATACTTTCTTTCTGTGTAAAATATGGTGTGCATGGTGAATATAGTCTACACAGTGGTTAGTCTTCTACAATTATGACACATAAATTTACACAAATCATTGCCTGGTATATTGTGTATCATTAGCTACCTGTTTATTTTATTTGTCTGGCAAAATGTTATAACCAGAAAACCTATCGGTTCAAACAAAATACAGTGAAATATCATTTGTGATTATTGCAGTTCACTGTGGAAAATCATTGTTTTACATCAGCGTATAACACATGATATGGGAAATGTTGAGGATAATTGCATAAAAAACTGACTTGGTTGCTGTGACAACAAATAATTATTCAGTGTAATTTTTATTAGTGTAGTCTTAGGATACTGCGCTCTTGTCCTCCACTATCTAAAAGTTGTAGAAAAGCATTCTAATTGTGTTCATTTTCCTTAGAAACATTTCCCATAGATTAACTCTTTGCAGATTTAGAAGCCACTTTTTGTGGCTGATATTTTTTACTGGTTAAAAAGGAGATAACTTTTGATGAACTGTATCTTTTGTTCTTCCTGTTGTTATAAAATGTTAAATATGATTGCATTGCTGTTTCATAGTGTTAATATAAGTTTAAAACCATGGCAATAATTATAGGGCAGGCCTGCTCTCAAAGAGTAATACCATTGTTCATACCTTTCTCTTTGTTGTCTTTCATTTTCTTGTTCCAACGTTGTCTTAATTATTACACCATGTTCACTGATGTAATAAAAAATACAAATTAAGGAATTGTTCCAGCCACTTCTGTATCTGCTTTAAAACAAAAAGAAAGAGGGGGGGGGGGGGGGGGGGGGTTTGAATTAATTTCTATTTCGGACAAGTTTGGTATAACTTTTTAGTTACTATTATGTCAAGACCGTTTAAGTAATTCTTTGCGCAGCTCTTCTGGTATGTTGCTGTGGCTGAACAATCTTACCGATTGCATGTAAATCGACTGGAGTCAAAGAAAGATTACTTTACTTTCCTGGCAATCTTTTTTTTTTTTTAACGTATCCAGAAACCATGAGTTGTAAACCCTTTGGCTCGGTACTATGGATATCGCAACCCTTCGGCCTTGATTCCATTATAGGTACCGTT